GTGTTCAGCGAGCCACTGCCCAGACTAAGGGTCGACAATCCAAATGAATTCTTTATGAACGAAACCCAAAATTTGGTCAACTCAAAAATCTCGGATATTATTCTAACTCCACAACACTTTGAAGAGGCTATAAATGACATGCCCATGCACTCTGCCCCAGGCCCAGACTCATGGAACTGCGTGTTTATCATGAATTGCAAGAAGCCCTCATTGCGTGCCTTCAGCATTTTATGAAGAGGGAGCATGGACACAGGGGTCATCCCACACACACTAAAAACAACAGACATAGCCCAACTTCACAAAGGTGGCAGTAAAACAATTGCAAAGAAATACAGACCGATAGCACTATCATCCCATGTCATAAAAATCTTTGAGAGGGTTCTAAGAAGCAAGATCGTCAACCACCTAGAAACCCATCAGTTACACAACCCAAGGCAACACGGGTTTCGAGCAGGTCGCTCCTGCCTGTCCCAGCTACTGGACCACTATGACAAGGTCCTGGATGCTGTAGAGGATAAACAAAATACAGATGTAGTATACACACACTTTCGACAAGTGTGACCATGGTGTAATAGCAAACAAAATGCGGGATAAAGGAATAACGGGAAAAGTTGGTAGATGCATCTACAACTTCCTGACAAATAGAACACAAAGAGTAATAGTAAACAGTGTAAAGTCCCAGGCAGCCACATTAAAAAGCTCTGTTCCACAAGGCACAGTACTCGCTCCCATTCTGCTCCTCATCCTCATTTCTGACATAGAGATGAAAGCCATAGCTTTGTGTCTTCCTTTGCGGATGACACCCGGATTACCATGGGAGTGACTTCCATCGAACACACCGCGAGACTCCAAGAGGACATCAACCAAATCTTCGAATGGGCCACTCAAAACAATATGAAGTACAACGATGAGAAATTTCAACTATTCAGATATGGGACACTTGAATAAATTGAAAATGTATCAGGGTATGCGACATATTCTAACCATATAATAGAGCAGAAAAGTAATGTGAAGGACCTGGGAGTGATAATGTCAGAGGATCTCGCCTTCAAAGACCACAACAATGTATCTACCTCATCCGTTAGGAAAATGATACGATTGATAATGAGAGCCTTCAAAACTAGGGATGCCAAGCCCATGATGATTCTCTTCAAATCGCTTGTGCTCTCCAGGCTGGAATACTGCTGTACACTAACGGCCCCCTTCAAGGCTGGCGACATTGCAGACCTGGAAAGTGTACAAAGAACTTTCACGGCACACATACGTACGAAAAGGCACCTAAACTACTGAGAATGGTTGAAGGTCCTTGATCTGTATTCCTTCGAACGCAGGCGAGAGAGATACATAATAATATACACTTGGAAGGCCCTGGAGGGATTAGCATCAATGCACACGAAAATCACTCCCTATGAAAGCAAAAGAATCGACAGGAGATGCAACATTCCCCCGATGAAAAGCAGGGGCGGCACGAGTACATTCAGACAACGCAATAAGTATCCGAGGCCCAAGACTGTTCAAATGCCTCTAAGCATACATAAGGGGGATTACCAATAGACCCTTGGCTGTCAAGAAGGTACTGGACAGGCACCTAAAGTCAGTACCTGACCAACCGGGCCGTGGCTCGTACATCAGCTTGCGTGAGACCAGCAGTAACAGCCTGGTTGATCAGGCCCTATCCACTATGAAATCTGGTCTCATATCGGGCCGCGGGGGCGCTGACTCCCGAAACCCTCTCCATATATATATATATATATATATATAATATATATATATATATATATATATTATATATATATATATATATATATATATATATATATGTCGTGCCGAATAGGCAGAACTTGTCATCTTGGCTTAAATAGCAAGGTTCATCTTCCCATATAGGACAAGTGAAAATTTGTGTATGCAATAATTTCACCAAAATCATTCTGAACCTAATGGAAAAAAATATATTTCACTGTGTTGTTTAGTATTAAATTAATTCTAAACAACTCTAAAATATATTTAGTTGGGTTAGGCTAAAATAAACTATTCTTGTTATAATAAGGTTAGGTAAGTTTTCTAAGTTCCTTTTGGTGCAAAATTATAAATTTTTACATCAACATTAATGAAAAAATATCGTTAAACGTATAAGAGAAAATCTTAGAAAGGACTTAATTTTAAATGAGTTCTTGCTAATTGACCAGTTTTACATATTCGGCACGACATATATATATATATATATATATAATAATAAATATATATAATATATATATATATATATATATATATATATATATATAATATATATATATATAATATATATATTTTTTTTTTTTTTTTTTTTCAACAAGTCGGCCGTCTCCCACCGAGGCAGGGTGACCCAAAAAAGAAAGAAAATCCCCAAAAAGAAAATACTTTCATCATCATTCAACACTTTCACCACACTCACACATTATCACTGTTTTTGCAGATGTGCTCAGAATACAACAGTTTAGAAGCATATACGTATAAAGATACACAACATATCCTCCAAACTGCCAATATCCCAAACCACTCCTTTAAAGTGCAGGCATTGTACTTCCCATTTCCAGGACTCAAGTCCGACTATATGAAAATAACCGGTTTCCCTGAATCCCTTCACTAAATATTACCCTGCTCACACTCCAACAGATCGTCAGATATATATATATATATATATATATATATATATATATAATATATATATATATACATGTGCCGAGTAAGTAAAACCTGCGATTTTGGTTTCAAGAGCAACGCACTTCTTGTCGAACAGAGCAAGCGAAAATTTGTGTATGCAATAATTTCGCAAAAACCATTCTGAATCTAACGACAAAAATATATGTCACTGTGTTTGTTTGTAAACTTATATAAAATATTAAATTTAGCTGGACTAGTCTAAATTAAATTGTGCTTGTTATAATAAGGTTAGGTAAGTTTCCGAGGGTTCTTTTGATACAAAATTATTTATTTTTACCTTAACATAGATGAAAAAATATATCTTGAAACGTATAAGAGTATTTGGATATGGCTAAATTAAACTGAACTTGTTATAATAAGGTTAGGTAAGTTTTCTAAGGTGCTTTTGGTACAAAATTATTAATTTTTAAATTAACGTAAATTAAACGTATATGAGAAAATTTAGAAATGACTTAATTTTAAACGAGTTCTTGCCAACTGGCCAGTTTTACCTGTTCGGCATGACATATATATTAATGAAACCACGAAACAAGTGATTCTGAATAATTAACATTACTGCGGCTAGCCATGATTCGATGCTGCGTCAACATGCCCAGCCCTGTGAGAACAGGACAATGTACGCATCGCATAGTGTTTTGTGAAAATTTTCTTCCTTGTTAACATGTAATCTAAAGTAAAAAGCACACAAGTATTAAAAGCTGCTTTTGTTTTTTTTCCCACCAATAATAAATATTTCTTGATCTACATTAAAACAAGTTCCATTTTTTTCCCAGCAGTTTATCAAACGAATTAACCTGCCTTCAAAAGAGTGGAAAAATATAGCAGCCTTGGTATTGTAGTAGATAAAAACAACTGTGTTGGTCACGGCAGCTCTAGCCAAGAGTGAAGGCAACTCTAGTTACAAGTTACGACAGCTTGTGCCACGGGTCACGGGCAAATACAGCCACGGGTTACGGGCAAGTACAGCCACGGGTCACGGGCAAGTACAGCCACGGGTCACGGGCAAGTACAGCCACGGGTCACGGGCAAGTACAGCCACGGATCACTGGAACCTGATAAATATTAGTCTGATAAACATTGTCGCCGCCTTGGCTTTTCATTTAAAAATATCGGAAAAGCTTTCGTCCACAGGTTCCTGATTCTCTGATGACACAGCAACAAAAAAAAATCTGTGAAAGATGCTGAGAAACTGTTTAGTATTCCCACACCTCACAAACTAGGCCGGGGGATTTTAACCTTCTTTTTTTGGAGACGAGTATTCGCACCAACGTCAAAAGAATTTCGATTTAGAATGGTGTAAGAATTGCTCTTCTCAGTGACCAGAGGGAATTTTTATTAAAAACGATGTAAATTTATTCTTTTAATGTAAAGCCTCCAATTATACTTGAAACTGAGAAATTTTATGAAAAGTACTTAATGATTCACTTTGGATTTCATCCTCATGACGGTACGGTCTTGTTAAGTAAAGTAGCACATATTTTATTGAGTGGACTCTGCTAGTCTTGTCAAGCCGAGGCACCAGGAGTCTTGTCTTCGTTAATTCATAGCGAGGCTTGGTTTCCCCTAGGTCAGTGGACAGAGCTTTGAGTTTTTATTAACAAGACTAGACTTCTGATACAGACCGGTCGCAGGAAGGCGATAGCAGACTTCCAGCAGCTAGATATCTAGAGTAATCATCTACGAGTAATCAGAATACATCCGAGGAAACTTGAGTTATCGGAATGATCTATTAATTTAATCCCTCATAGATGTTATCCTCATCAGACGCACCATCACCATGTAATACCCTCTGGCAGGCTTCCCTTATGGGTTTATCGCTAATAGACGTAGACGAGTGTGTGTAGACCTCGTACCATCACAAGGGTAGTGAAGGGTGTGATTCAAAAGAGGTTGACAACTGAGACAAAAGGTGATGTTAACTGTCTTAACATTCATACATTAAATGCTTCCCACAATGTACTTATTAATTTGATTTACTGCACATGCTGTAGAGGATTCTCAGAGCGAAAAGATTCTCAGGTTGCCTCTTAATATATATATATAATAATGTGTATCTATGAACAGAGAACAATAAAATTATAGCCTTTACTTGAGATGACGTATTATGTGAGCGTTACAGGTATCCTCTTAAACTTTTAAATGATTTAATGCATTTATAAACACACACACACACACACACACACACACAACAAACTTATATAATATCGGTTTATATCTTATTTTCTCATGCACCAGTGTTGCAGTCATTTAACAAATGATGTGATCCTGACTGAATATACCACATTTTTCTCTCTGCTCACCTTAACACGGCAGATAACCGCAGCTTCCCAGACAGCAACA